TAATAACCAAATTTCCACATTGACAGGTACTTTAATCATGTCAAGCGTGTATCGCATTAGTTGAACAGATACATAAGATACAGCAAGGAGATTTGAGTGCACCCAGGCGTAGAATGAAATTCTCCGTGGAAATTATCCCTGCCTCATCCGTTACTACGCTATGTATTGGGACGCCACTTTAATTAATAGGATGGTTCTATGACCAGGAATATAAGATACTGGGAATTCTGCTCAATGTCAAATTAGTAAATTCACTTTTGTCGTGAGCAGCACCGTTGCTAGTTTCCATCTCAAGCACGCGAATAGCTGACTTCATGTTACGTCAAGTTCGGATGTTGTAAGATAAATACGTTTTTCCAGTTAACGATGTCGCTCATGTTGATTGTCGAGTTTTTCACAGCCTCACCAGCCTCACGATGTTCATACCATATGTTTTCAAATCGATACTATTGAAAATTGATTTAAAAATACATCTAAATATTTATAGAGCAATTATTTCTGCATTGAAATGATTATTTGTATACGTTAAACTATAGCGATAAGTTATACATAACGAAATATACTTAATGATAAGTCGGCGCTATTTGGTTGTTTAAGCTAATCAGACCTCGGCCAATAAACGTCAAGTCTGTCTATAAAGCGAATTTTGCATCTTGTTTTTAACTCAAATTCTTACCTGAAATTTGTGTAAAATTGATACAAATAATCAGTTAAAATAATCAAGATCGGAATCGCATGTTTACATACTTATAAATATTCCCTTAAAAATATTTAGATTTTTTTTTTATTAGAATTACGTCAAGCTTACAAGGCGAAACATGTTCCACATCTTGACCTAATATAAACACGTGTCTATTTCCACTCATCTCGAGACGTGGGCTCCATCGTCAGCGAGTGTCCTCTTGTCATCTGTGTTTCTTCCCCGCGTACAAATGTCTCCGACGTCACACACGAAGAGGATCTTATAAACTAGTTTCCTTTTCGTACGAGATTTATGAAACGAATCAATGAGCTTTGGAAAGTTAAAGCGGAAGTCTTTGTCGAGCTTAAAAGAGAACTTCCGGGAGAATTTCATAAACCACATATCAAAGAGAATTAAAGATACTTTTTATCTTTGTGAAACTAATTTTCTCTTACCATTGTCAAGTCTCTCAACATCGCCTTCCAACGTCTACCATACATTTGCTTTCGAACCCTTCACCACCTATCCGTTCTTCCATTAATCAGGTTCAGTTTGTATCTTAACTTAGAGCTCATCCAGGTCCAAGTCTTGCCGATATGCACCGAAAATACAACCTCACTGAATGAAGAAATCACTGGACCATTCCTGTGATAGTCTCCTCACAATGAGGCCTAGAGTTTTCTGAAGCCCATGGCCTGTGTTCGTGATACCGTCCTCATGCTCAAACAAGTTTTCTTGAATCTCAATAAAATCTTGTCAAACGATGAAAACACTTTTAGGCTGTAAGTTCCTTCAATTTTCCCCTCAAAACTTTGATGAAACAAGATTTTTTTGAATTAATTTGTAAGTGGAACAAGAAAGAAGACTTGAGCACAAAATCCATGCTTGGGCATGAGAACGCTTTCATGAATATGGGCCCTGGAAATCCTCCTTGATATTCACTGTGTGAATGTAATGAACCTTATTCACACTGTCCCACACCCTGGGAGTGTTTTTATTATCTTTAACATATATTTGAACGTCATCGGAGGTAAAATTGTTATTCTTGTCTATTTTACACATTGAGAAATAACCCCAGAGGTATAAGATAAATATGATAATTAACTATTACTTATAGGTGAACCTCTGAAGTCACTTACCTCATACACCCCTGAAGACACATTTGAACTCGTCCAATTCAAGGGTTGGAATAGTTCATTATGAAATTTCAGGGGTGAATGAGTTAATGTATTTTTGAAGTAGTGGAACCTTGCTGGTCTGGTGGCTTTGGTTTCCTGTGTATAAACATTTTTTATTAGAATTTCAATCTACCAACTGTTCCGTAGATTAACAGAGATTAACTCTTGAAATATAAACAGAATAAAAAAACACATTTTTTGTTTGTTTTATAGATTTATTCAATAATGTTATACTGTATATAAATTTCAATAAACGGAGAAAAAAATATGCATTTTAATTAAAGCATTTGACTCTCATCCACGCCCAAAACATCATTTCTGTATTACAGAATCAAGAATTTGGTTTAACATATTTCTAAACCACTGCTTCTTTTACAAAACTGTGTCAAACAAAACCTCTACCTACGATATACATTAATAAATTAACAAAAAAATAATACACATGTAACCACGGACAATGTAAATGTATTAATCTCAACGCAATGTGACTAGCTTTATTATGAGGTTGTATTAAAAATCATTTACACTGGAAACGACTTGAGTAAAATAATATTCAGTAATAAACAAGGAAATAAATCAGGTTTAAAGTTATTATTTTACATTTTTCATTTTTCATTTTTTTAAATTTTGTTCTTCATCATAAATTATGCAAGTTGCTTTTGATCATTATTTTTTTACTTTAAAAAGTTGTGGTACTTGCATCAACTCATTCACCCCTGAAGACACATTTTAACTCTTCCAATTCAAAGGTGAGAATAGCTCATTATGAAATTTCAGGGGTGGTTGAGTTTCATAAGTTCAAGAAAATTATCAGTTAATTATAAAACAGTGATACAAATCAATCAAATGATTTAATACAACAAATATGTAAACCGGTGTACTTTGTGTACAAAAATAGAGAAAATTGTTGTTACATGAACCATGTCATTTGTAGGAGGTTTTGATTGTGGAAAAGTTTTGTCCGGTGTATATATATATAATATTCTACCAGCAAATACTGCACGACTAAAACAATAATAACATCTGGTAAAGATTGCAATAAAGACTGTGAACAATATTGTGTCAGGTTATTTGTAGATCGGGTAAAAATTGTTCATATTGTCAACATTTATATAAAAAAAAAAATCAGGATTATTTTTGAAGTGCACAGGGGCAAAATACAATGGAATGGAAAGTGAAGAACAATACAATGTAACGTTATACAAGGTTTAAATACCGGAATGTTTGTAGGAATATGTGTAGACATTTGTTGTCTTCGGTACATAACAACATTACCAGGTAATGGTAAAATACCTACTAAGGAGGTTGTCTCTTACTGTTTTAGATAGAAAGCTTTCCCATATCAAATAAAATGATATGCTGAAAACGTCTTCTGGAAATCCACAGTCTTATTAACTCATTCACCCCTGAAATTTCATAATGAACTATTCCAACCTTTGAATTGGAAGAGTTCAAATGTGTCTTCAGGAGTGAATGAGGTAAAGTGACACAAGTATCTAATTATTGTGGAAAATAGTTGCTGCTCTGATTTAAACAGGTTTCCGGATTACACAGGTTTTCTATGTAGACAGTGTTACACCATATACCAATGAAATCAATGGAATTTAACATCAAGATTAACAAACAAATTATCAAAAGACAATTTTTTAAAATATCAATTCTGAGAATGATGCTCTTCCGAGACTTAAAGCGAACACACTGGAGATCAACACATTTGTTCAAATCACCTGATGATGAGAAAATAATTATAACAGGTAAGGAAATTGCACTTTCACGGATTTCTTTGATTGTAGATGGGAGACATATGGCAGAATATCCTAAGGGATGACGGAGTCCGACAACAATTCAAAATTGGGAGGGAATTAGATTTACCTGTGATTGCACAGGCACAAAACAAAATGATCAACAATAGTAATATAAAAGACATTGGTAACAAATATGTTTATACATAGTATGTACTGACAATAAATAATACAGGTGTGCAACGGTACTAAATATAGCACTGCTAACATTTGTATCTACAAAACACACCTTACTGGGCTTTGACGCAGGTCCAGTTCCTAAGGAAAACCTCAGTTGTTTAAATCAAAACTTCCTATCCAAGCTATTTCAGAGAAAAAAAATCTCAAAAAGTTTACAAATGAACAAATACATGCTATGTAATATTTCGTTAATTTTGATCTGAGACTTTTAGATTATTAGATGAAAACATCAGTGTACTCTAGTGTTGTCATTATAACATTGTACTTGGCTGTCGTTGAGGCCGGCGTAGACTTTGTCTTATTGGCAGTCTGTTACCGCTTACAGCCCTGCAAGGCATACATCTCAAGCAGCAGGTGTTCGTTAATGACGACAATGAGACAGGTAAAAATGACAACGTTTTACAGGTGTATAATCAATATTAACAATTTGTAGGTTTGCTTCATGACAATTTACATATTAAAAATACTGCAAGAAGAAAACTTGGTATTAAATGTTCTTCGTCATTGACTAGGTTATACATTATAGACAGGTAGATACATTTGAGCTGTGTTTGTTAATGAGATAAAAGTGGCTCTTGGGATTTCGTGGAGAAGGTCGTTCAGATGAGGGAAAGAGAGGTTTGGGTTTGGGTTTGGGTGTGTGTGTGTGTGTGTGTGTGTGTGTGAGATGTAAAGGGGTTTTACGACAAAGGTTGGGTGGAGTTTCAGATATATGGGGTTAACCCTTTCACCCCTAAAGTCACATTTTGAACCTTACCAAATCAAAGACTGGGCAAGCCCAGTTTAAATATGTATAGGGTGAATCAGTTAAATGTGAGTAGGGGAGGGGTATATATGGGTAATTTGGGAGAGGTTCAGGATTCCTCTGCTGGATAACTGAACTACTCGGTAGTAAAGCGGGGAAGTAAAACCTATCAATCAATCAATCAATCAAGGGGCTCAGGAGAGGGTAGAGAGGGATTTAGATGCTGAGGGTCTATATGAGAGGGCATTTTAGTGTTAAGGAGGTAACGGAGAAGGTGATATTTGAGGGATTAGGGAAGTGAGGAGTTTAGCTGAGAGAACAGGGGAGCATGAAAATGAAGACAGTTTCACATTCACATCAAGTAGTTTGCTGTAGTTTTTGGTTGTGGGAAAGGCCGGGTATAAAAGGGGGGGGGGGGGGGGGGGGATTTGCCAGCAATGGTAGACATATCAGACAGCTAAAAACAAATAAAACAGAGGACACAGCCACAGAGTGACCCTGGTGAGAACTCTTAATCTTATTCTAAACTAGTATTTGATGTGTCATCTTTCAATAAGAAAACACTTAGGACAGAGAGGTGACGATGATTAATTTTCTACTCCTTTGTAACCCTTTCACCAAACTATCCAGCACATATACACATCTGAATCACAAGAGTTCATATCTACATCTTCCCTTGTACAGCATCTCACTGTCAATGATAAACTCTCCATACATAAATAACACTATACTTATATCATCAAAGATAAATCTTACAAAATCATCATGAATTTCTCTATCTATAATATTACTGCGTTTTTTCTCTCCTTATGTTATTTTATTCTCAATACCATCTTGAAAGTCTTAACTATTACTTTAATATTGTATTATCTCAATGCTTATTTTCTGAGCAGTCTTAAAAGAATATTATCATAAAAAATATTCCATTCTGAGGAATACATACACTGTTGATTCAAAACATTTAGGATTTTGAACCAAATAAACTAACAGTATTTCATAACAATGATAATAGGACCTCATATACGGAGATTTATATATTTTTTGCAGAAACATGTATATTTAAAATCAAAATTTACTCATTCACCCCTGAAATTTCATGATGAACCATTGAATTGGGGGAGTTCACATGTGTCTTCAGGGGTGAATGAGTTCAAACAAAAGTTTCACTGTGTTATTTGCAAAAATGGAATGTTGCTATATGTGTATATATGGGTCAAAGAAGTAATATAGACGGTAAAATCCCATATGTGTATATATATATACAGTCTGTACATGTGATAACTCACATGCCTTCCTTGCAATGCTGATATTAATAAATCTTCCTGCTTTGATCTACGACAGGTCATCGTAAAGTATCATTTTATATTTGTCTGCATTTTTTTTTTTAATGTATTTACAAATAACAACAAAAAATATAAACCAGTGTTACCCATCATTAAGTTCAGTCAATCGGCATGGCAACACATTTTGCTGGATTTCCTTGAATTGTCCCTCAAGCCAAGCTGAAACTGATTAATCCTTTCACCCCGATGCAACTTTAGTAAACTTGACCATGCATTGATCTGGATGAGTCCATTATGGTCTACAGTGGTGAAAAGGGCTAAGGGAGTACAAGGCCTTACTAGAAATGTCTTTTTTTTGTGGTAATATCATTCAATAAAATGTATATAAATGTGGATTGTTTTTTCAATCATTAAAATGTGTAAAGAATGACTTATTGTTTTGTAAAACAATTATGACGAATGTTGTTACTGTTGCTATGGAATGCGTGATAGACATACAATGTATACATTAACGTCAGAAATATATCTGTACATCTGTAGAACACCTATCACAACCATGTCCATTTGCTAAGAAACTGTGGCGACCATGACAACCATCTATTTCCGTGACAACCAAGATCACATGTCCTTAATCTGTCTCCATTTTAACCAGAAAGCCATGACCTCAAGTTGCCACCAAAATCAGTGACCCTGTTGCCACAGTGGTCAGTGATCAGATGACCCGGAGTTGTTGTTTAATGAGTCAGTGATCAGATGACCCGGAGTTGTTGTTTAATGAGTCAGTGATCAGATGACCCGGAGTTGTTGTTTAATGAGTCAGTGATCAGATGACCCAGAATGGTTGCCATGACAGTAATTGATCACATGTCTCTAAGTTGCTGCCAGGAATAGTCACTGATCACATGACCTACACTTGTTGAAGTCACCAATCACATATCACCGAGTTGATCCATCCAGTTCGGAGACTTGAAGTACTCGGGGAGGGTGTCGTCAAGGCGAGCAATCACTTTGTAGATTGACTTCTTCCAGGAGGGTTCATTATCTTTACAAGCAACAACAGATTTGTAGAACTCGCGAAGCGACGCTTGCACCACCAGACGGAAACTCTCCGGAACCTACAATAGATTAATGAGAAGAAAAGGTTAAACATTTGATGTGATTCTTTAAAAGTGCAAAACAAATCATATGGCGACATTTTTTTGTGGCTCAAGAACGAGATTGCAATCTTTTTGCCCTTTTATGATTTATTTACACATCGTAATGCGTGTACTTTTAAGTGTATTATGCAAAAGATACACAGCCTCTTTAAGGACAGACACATATATAAAGATAAGGGCAAAATAAAAACCTGGTGAAGACCTTCATTTCACTGTACCGTTTACAGTATATACAATGTACATATATATATATACATGTATGGAGCGGTAGAAAACTAGAATTAATGGAACAATTTTTGTCCTCGGAGAGCAAGACAGTTGCATGTCTGCTGAGGATTTATTTTACTTTCCCCCATAATCCCCCAATGAGAGTACGGGTCCGTATCGCGGTTCGTAAGCCCGCTGATTTGCACAACTGTCATTAAGATACCTAAGCTCTCTGACTTGGCATTCCTTGTTGCTGTTAAGAAGGCTTTACTTGGAATCTTCTTGCCAATATAACATAACAAGCGTGTGACAAGTTAAGTCGAATTACGTCTTCTTCACTAGACATAAGATGCTGATGCAGACAACCATCCATTGACTTAGCACATCAACATGCTAATTTCTCATATTCTGACGGACCGTTTGTCCAAAAGCCAATCATTAGTGAAGAAATTCACATACAAAATGGACCTTTTATAACACAAAGAAAATTCCCTGTAATGGAGTTTCAAATCCCCATCTCCAAAAGAGCAGAAACGCTGACCTTCTGTATTGTGTAACAGATAGCATCACACAAAATGGACGATTTCTAATCCTTTGCATTCTGCTTGCCTGCACCAACCTACTGTAGGATGGATCGAGGCCACAGTGATGGTCTTACGGGTTTGAGAGTACGCAATATTGAAATGAGACCATCACCGATAGACAGGAAAGACATCTGAGCTAGTGCGGACGGACAGGCAGGAGTTTGTGAGAGTGATCTCCGGCTAATCAGACAATGTAGAATGGGAGATTAGGGTGGTCGTGCCGAAATATCCAGTCTTGACTTGTGAAAGCGATGGACCTTTATCAATACCACAGTTTGTAAACACACTTAGACATTCAAAGCTCAATATGAGAATATTTCTTAGTAAAACCCTCACACTGAGGGCCATACCGTGTAACACCTGTATTCTGTCCTCGTTTAACACCTGTATTCTGTCCTCCAAACTAATTTACACTGGACATCATGTGCTACTTCATTATCAAGAAACAACAACAAAGAGTGTATACAGTGTGCCAGTGAATGATAAAAGAGGTATATTCTGTATTCAAAGACGGAACTGTTGATTGCCATCTCTTAAAGTAAACATATTTATCTACGTCAGAGTCTTATACTGGGCCTAGACACCAGGAATATGTCACGCTTGGTCGACTAGATGTTTAATGACCATCAGCTAAGTTGGCGAAAGGTGTTGACGCGTGCTTATCTCTGTGCCCTATCTCTCTTTCTCTCTCGTTTTACTGCGAATAAAACACGAGGAGCTCTGAACACACCCGAGTGACCAGTCATCAGATGATGATGGGAAGGGCTTCACAAGGCGGGCGGCAGATAGAACGGCCGTATAAAAGCATCTGCTGCTCCATCACGCGTCTGCTCGCTCGGGCGGTCAGGCAAGTGACAATTCCTTGCCTTGCTGATCGGATGAGGAATCAGCGCCCAGGATCCATTTGATCAGGCAGCCATTTACATCAGGCAACAAAATCTCACTATCGTGCCAAATTAATAAAGCAGAATACCATGGTGGAACCATTTGGAGCCGGTGAACAAAGCTGATGACAGCTATTTGTAAGCAAAGTGTGTTGTATTGATAGGGAGATAGTTCAGCCTAGGCGGACAACATCCCTATAGAAATTCAGAAAAAATGAATGACATTTTAATGTCACTTTCTGCCAATATGAAACAAGCCTAGCATGAAGATTTGAAGAATGCATTAAGAATGATGACACTGATAGGTTGTCTCCCCCCTATATTGTATACATATTAAGTCCATATTCAGACTCGGCTGCGTCCCTTGGGAGGTATCAAAGTGATTTCTGTGAGCATTTTCCGCATGCAGTCATATTGACATTGTCTTCTAGAACAAGCTAACACACCAACTTCAATCCAATTAATTGTGTCTGCGGTGCGGTTCCTGATCATTTCTTCTGGTGTATGACAAATACATTTTTAGGTATTTGATGATAAAATCTCGCTGTAATTATTGTCTGAGAAATATCGGCTCTCCCATCAGAACGGGACTGGTGCTGTATCATGGCAAGTCTCGAGAGACGCCAAATGAGGAAAATAAATGTAACAAAGGATAAGATGAACCTTACTCTAGTCAACCCCACCACACCACAGCACCGAGTCTTTCAAGTAGATTGAAAAGTTATTCCCCACGGGTTACAGATAGCAATATTAATATACTTGAAGTAAACAGGCATTAGTTAATTGTATCATCTTAGCTATAATTTGGATATTGATAAGGGTCCATGGGTTGATATGAAATTTCTTCACAGAAGTTACAGACACTACCAAAGTTGCATCATGGGAGTGCTATATCAATTATAGATGAGGGTTTCGTTAGAAGCTAATGCTTTTCAATAAACACTAAGCAAGGCGGGACCACAAAGTGTCGTGTTTGTACGGCGAAGTGGAACTCTTTTTGCATGGGAGGTGATTCATGGTCGAAGTCTGCGCTCGCTCGATGTGTCAATTTTATTTGAACAACTTACCGACAAATGCAATGAAATTCCTTTTTGAGTGTGTTGCTAATTAATTAGATGTCATTCAGCAATCTATCTTAGCATTCCCCCAAGACTGCAGACTTGATAATATGGAGACTGAAATTCCTGCAAGATGCCACAGAGATGAGGACCGTCATCTGTGACATCGCCTCCGTCTAATACACCACAATACACAAGGTGACAATTCAAATTTTCATTGAACATCCTACTCCGGCAATATGTTTTGTTTCACTGCCGATAGATAGTTTCGTGTCTTCTTCACTGTTTTATGTTAGTGTGATTCCAATGATAAAACACAATAAAAAGCAAGCAATAACGATAGAAGAGTTCGGCAATTGAAAAAAATTGTATCCACCCAATGGCATGGAAAGTTGTTCTGAGAATTAAAACCAAGGCAGCATATACAAACCTCAATTTGGTTGTTGCGGTTGTAGTGGAGATTTAGGACGCGGTAAAGTTCAGCATCTGTCGTCACTGTGAGGTCATCATGGTGTTTGCATCCTTCACTGAGTGACTGCCTGGCATATTTCTCCATTTGAATATAGAAAAATTCTCTGAAAATACATAAAGTAGAAAAAAGTGTTAATTAAAATTGATTTAATTATGAGTCTATGCACAAATCTTTGTATCAAAGATACTATAACATTTACTTTTCATATTAGTTATTTATATTATTAGCTTTGTTGGCCACTATTTGAAGCCTAATTGCAGTAAATACCCTCATTTTCCTCACTAGCTGATACAAGCTAGAGTGCCTATAATTCATTCATGACATGCCGTCCACTGTCAACAAGGACTCCGCCCACTGTTACAAACAGGTACCCTTTCCCCCCATAGTAACCACACACATACTTAACATAACATAGAAATAAATTAGGGTGTTTAGCCCTTAGGTGTGTGTGTGTTTTTTTTGGGGTGTATGTGTGTGGGGAGCACAATAAGAAGATCATTATATTTAATCAATCCATCATGTCTATTTCTTTTCCAATATCATAAATCATACAATTATATTAATAAATAGATCATCATTATTGGAATAAATTAGATCTTGCAAAAATATCCAGCAACATTTAATAGATATTAATATTATCAGTCAGGGGTGTAGCCCTTGTCCGGAGGGAGGATTCATTTAGGAAGGGGTCCCGGGCAGGGGGACAAAGGGTCGACATGCAGAGGGTTTTTCTCTGCACGAAAATTTATTGGATTCACCTGCGTACCAGCGCATAAACAGGCTACGTTTATGCCTGTATTCAATGTTAGTATACATTGAAAAATTATTAAATGAGATATATATATATAAACTGTACAGGTAGATTAAATTTGAGAAATACTACCAGATGTATGAATTTTACAAGTTCTTTCCAGTGTATACAATAACCCAAGTACAAATAAGCGAGAGTTTTAAAACAGCCGGCAGTCTTCATTCTGTTCGCATTTGACTTTGAGAAAAATGAATTCTGGAAAGATCTTGAGTTGAAGAAGGATCATACAGCGTCTTATGTATAGGCTTATGTTAAGTTGACCACAATGTTATTCAATCATATTGTTGTCAATATAGAGGCAGCAATGCCTGCATCCACTAATTTCCTATTAAATCCTATTAAAAATTCCTCTAAAAATAATCTTTTTTAGGTAAATGTTTCAAATAAATGTACGTTCCCTTTCAACCCAAATAAATACCGATAATTGGCATTACTGGAGACAGTTTTCTGTATAAAGCTTTGCGGACAAAGTCATGTACATGGGCTTTCTCCAGCCGTAAATACCCGGAGTAAATAAGATTAAATCTTAGGTCATCTCTTCAGGCCAGGTGACTCCAGACTTGATTACTCACAACATCGACATTTATTTTCTGAAACGCAAGTAAAAGGTGCGAGTCGATCCCCACAAGTCAACATCATCACATGTAGGAGGATTTTGTCACTAAACATCACACTGGGACAAATTAGCCTTCTAAGCTATCATCTGTGGGGTCTAATCTGTCTTATAAGTCGGAGACTGTTGACAGAGAAGGGACTTAATTAACCGTCTACAAGATTAAGCCTATTGATTCATAATTACTGATACATTGTGGCATGTCTTGTTAGCTCGGCCCAATAGGCCTAATTACACAACAGCCTTATTAGGGTCATTCGTTCCAGACTCCATGGTCAGCTGGCTAATTCGTGAGTCCACCTTCAAGATCACTGGCATACCTCGTTTATGACATCACTCAGAAAATTACACAGAATTCTACCACTTCACCAAAACAATGTATATTTATATATGTACTGTCCTGTCAACATAAATAAACGGTTCCCAGATGAACCTCTAAAGAGGTAAAAATGGGCTAGATAGATACTTTTTAAGAAACTCTTGTCATTTTTTATTTTATTTATTATATATAAATATATGTTTCTGCTTCAAATTTTCCTGTGGTGAATATTGTAGAAATCAATAAATCAGTAAATCTCTCCGGAGAATGTAAATCTCCCTGGAGAATTCATATTAAAAGCAGTTTTACATACCTTGAAAATTTGCAAATCAACTACATGTATATGCATCAAGGCTATAGATCTAAATCTTACCGACACTAAAACTAACGTACACATTTGTCCATGGTTGGGATTCATCATCATATACAGAAAATGTTCCTCTATCACCACAGAAGGGGAATGGAATCCTGTAGTCCGGGGTAAGACAGTGTCGGACAAACAGGATAAAGAAAGAGGAATCAGTAACTAATAACTATGAGTTCATGTAATGTTGTACTTGACATCCTTAAAGTCAGGTGATGACAAAGCCAGTCTTGGCTGTTCATAGGATGGGCTAAACTAGAAATTCCATCTCTAAGTAATTTTCAAGTAACACTGCAGGAAAACCTGACTATACTGACACCTGACTTGACCGACACCGGTATTTATGACATTCTGCAATACGCTTATAATCTTAATTATTAAACACGAACTTTACCGACTAAAATATTCAATCCCTCTTGATATGAAAAAAGATCGGGTCCGCTGTACAAATAATTTGTCTGCGTTGTGCACATCCCCCCCCCCCTCCCCTCCTCCCATTCTTTCCATTGTCCTTTCTAGATGTAAACGTGCAGATACGATGCGTGAACTTGGACATTTATCAGAGTTGATGTGCTGACAAGCGTGTTTCCCAGTGAATCACACAGTCTCGCAACAGATGTGTTTATTCTATTTCTAAAACCATCTTCCTGAGTTTTAATGTTATGTTGTAATTCCCCAAATATTTGTATTACAGCCTTGTTGTTATTGTAGGTTTCACAACACTCCAGTTCTCAGTTTAACTCATAACAAATGTATGACCTTATAAGGAAAAAAGGATATTTAAGAGTTTAAATCAGCAGAGTTTCTGTCATATTGTGAGATCGGTATTTCGTTTTTTCCCCTAAACAAAATCTGGAATGTCATGTTTATCTTTTCAGTACCTTTTTGCTCAACTTGTCAAAATGTAAACTGAAGTTTCCACATCATTCAAAACAATGTAGGTTGAACAATAGATAAAGAGAAAGTAAATAATGCGTAATTAGATAAACAAGATTAGACCACAGTACTTTCCTGTAGATAGACGCAGCAGGAAATGGCATTGTTAGCTTATCAGGTCGCAAACAATAAACAGACATCACTTTAATCAAACCAATTGATGCTAATAAGTTATTTCGTATTTTTGATTTGATGCATATTATCCAGGAGTATTAAACATTTATGTGACACAATGTTATAAAGCATTTTAAAAACTCACCATACACATCTGGTTTTGCCCACGTATTGTTTGGACAGATCATATTTAGAGATAACGCTGATAAAACAGAGCACTCCTATACACTATATAGATAGTACATTGTATTATATAAGCATAGATAATTTTATAAAAGTTATCTTTATTTATATTTAATTAACACTAATGAAAATAACAACTGGGGCTTTGTTACAAACTGTCTTCACAATAATTTAAAAAAGAAAAGGTCTGTATCTACAATTAAAAAAAACACCAATAAAATCTATGACTTTGATTCTGACCTCAGATGATGTGGTGACAGTGTTATGCTGACAGTACTAAAAGATTCTGCTATTTTAGTGTGTTTTAATGAGGAGAGGGATTCTGTTTTCAAAATCTTTTACTTGTTTTAATTTTCGTCACCTCAAACTATGTGGTGATAAACATTTACAGACTTTAATTTGCTACTCTGAAGGAAACGTATTGTTATAACAATGATAATGGCTAGTAATTACAGCCCACACCACTTAAACTCTCCTTCCCTCGACTGACTCCTTCAAAAGACAAATCTCCATTTTACAAGAAAATTACACGTCACTTGCTGACAATTACAGACTTGTAAATCTGAAGTGACGGTTACCGGGCTGAAAATGGTGGCTAGCTCGGCAGCTGTCACTCCGAGCTTGCTCGATTCAGATTAAGCGCCAAGCTATCCACCATTATTAGATTACACAAGATTGAGTGAAAGGTGTTTAACTAAATCTTGTGGCTACCATTGCCTTAGAGACTACCCTAATGCCGCTACCACGCCCACAATGGTCGCCAAGCCTCACCAAGCCGCGACTCATTTGCGTCGCACGGTGATTGTCCCATCTCCCACTTGTTATTAATATCAAACTACTTAGCAGCTTGGCTATTCTGTGTCATCTCGATTCTTTTATCTTCCTGGGAGAAATGGCCGATTAATTTCAAGAGTACATTATCAATTATCAGGAATATCCATTTGAGAAAACCATTTTATACTTAATAGGAAATGATATTGAGCTTCATTAAGATTATAAGGAAAACAGTTATTTCATGAGCGCCAGTTTTATGCGATGATGTGTTGTAAACATGGCTGACGGCAATATGTGCGTCTGAAATAGGAGTTACATTTTCATAGCCAAGATACATGCAAGTCGAGTGAAAAGACCATATCGGAAAATGACAAAGAATCACCAATCCGTCTAACATTATCACCAAGACGACTCCCGTTAAAGTTTCAATTATTCATGGCTATTAGTTAACAGTAATTCCTCTTCGGCGTCTAATTTGCCTTCTAAATTTATTGCATCATTCAAATTATTCGGAAAAGTAAAACATTTCAAACTAAATAATTAATTCAGCCCTCAGCCTTGCCTTTTGGTAGCCAGCGCGGCTCAATTTTTTGTCTGACGCTGGTTTAACTACCAAGGAAATAACACTTTTTGCTAATTAAACACATATTGGTAAGATGCCTGTTTAACATGCAAGGTGATGCTTTGTCTATCTTACCACTTAATTTGATTTGCAAATTCACGCATCAGAATAAAGTATCGAATCGGTTCCGTTACAGCTCCGACTTCATTTTTCCAATCTCACCAAGTCATCACCTTGACGAACAAGAATCAGATTTACCCGACAACAAACGAGTGTGCCGTGACCAGGTAAAAATCACCAATCACTTTCCCGTGATACCCGTTTAATATAGTATCATGTCCTGTACATCGATGTATTAAATCATCACCTTTTTCCGTCATAATTGAGAAAAAATATTCAATACTTGATTAAATTAGAATATGTCCAT